GATAGAACAAAATCAAGGTGGTCTAAATGTTGTTACTCTTGAAAAATTTACGTACGAAGATGGTAAATTGATCAAAGCAAAACATTTTCTCCGTCGCGCTCAGTACAACGCAAATCTGGCTTCATATCAGTAAGTGCAGTGGTGAACTGCTTTTATTCCCCGGACCCAGTGCATGTGTTAAAATTTTGAGCTCGATCGGGCAAATTTTCGATATGATCCGTACGGTAACACAATGAAAAACATGATTTTCAAAGGATTGATACGTAGGATTGATTGAGTACCTCAGTGTGAGAGTTAGGGCAAAAAAGCGCGATAATTACCAGGATTATTAGAGTTGTGAATGACTTATCGTTTAACTGCAATGTCGGATGAGTTACATAGCTATAATATAATTTGATGCTCAGAGATTTTGCAACCTCCACTGATTTTGACAGTTTCAATTAGTCTAATTAGCAGTGCTTCTGCAACGGTTTTTACAAAAGAATTTCAATCAACAGACTTTAATAAGAAAAATTTATTAATAACTCAAGTGCACTCTCAGAATTTATTTTTGTACGGTAGTTATCGTGTTCTTTTGAATTAAATTCGTCTTTCTTTGTCAAACACGCAGTTAAGCAAACTTTCACAGATGAGGAATGAAAACAGTAGTAAAACACAAACAATAATAAACAAACGAACATGCTTACAAAAGTGAGATAAGAAAGAAAAATGTTTTCGAGTAAGATATGGACTGGTCATTGAGTACAGAGGCATATTCAAACAATTGAAAGTTAAAAATAGAAGCATTCAGAGAGGTATAAACATCACAGTTTCAAATGTACCTTTTGGAATAAGCTGAGGAAAAACACAAAATCAATAACAAAAGATATTTTTCTAGTCTTTTTGGTAAGAAATATCGTTATGGTTTAAGTATTCCTCTTCGTCTAATATTATGTTGTTTTGGTGGGATAGATGTTGATATAAGCTTTATTCTGTCAGAATACAAGCGGAAAATATTCCATTATAGTATTCTAAACTAAAACTATCGAAAAACACAAAATCAATTTTGTACGAATAGATAGATGTTCTACTATTGGATAACTTACTTTCAGAGGGGATGACGAATAGTCTGAAACGATCGTCCATTTCGGTTTCGTTTTTGAATATTTCTGAGTTATTCTTCCCTCAAACCGCAAGAATTTGACATTATCTTTTCTTCTGCGTTTCCTATATCGTTCGGTTTCGTTTCGTTTCTTTCACACGCCAGAAATCCGGTTACTTATTCTGCTTTTCGGTGTACTAGACCTTTTTTATGTTTTGGTGACGTAGAGCGCGAAACACATTGAGAAACACAAGAATTGAAAACTTTTTCAATGTCAATCGCCAAATATAGTGAGTGATCCTCGAGTTTTCAATATAATTTAAACCAAACGTGATAATGCCTAAAGTTTCGATATTGCAGAGCCTAGACTTTCTCACGTATTTTTATTATAGACTTCATCAGTAAAATTCAAGCAGTAGTGCAGCAAATTTGATAACGAGAAACAAAGCAAGAAATGGAGTTTTCTAGTTCCAATACGCGTGTATAAAAATTTTAAAGTAATCTAATTTGGGACAGATATGGAAAAGTACTTTTGCGCGAATGCATGCAGCATGGTTTCTGCTGTAATGTTTTTGGTGAGTTGCACATATGTCTTTGCTGCTGTCAATGATAATAACACCCGTTATGTTGCTATCTTCTATTTTGCAAACTGGGGTGAAACCATGTATTCATCTGATGCACTTTCTCCGAAAACAGACGATGCCTGGATTATGAATGGACAAACACCTGCTTTCAGTCCGTATGACATTTCTAATTTCTGGGGTAAACCACAATTTGCCGCCAGTCATGGTGATGGTTCTATTAAAAATAATTACCGTTTCTATTTTAATAATGATACAGCCCAAACAAATAATGCTTTACTTGACTGGCACGCGGATTTACTAACGGAAGCCGGTGTAGACCTAGTAATACTTGATTTCACGAACGGTGCTAGCGATTTTCCTCATGGCCCTACATATGTATCGGCGACGGTCGCCTTATGCAATAGGTGGCAATGGCGTTTAGAGCAACAACTTCCCATACCTAAAATTGCATTTTTTGTAAAAGATGAAAATGCGCTCGTTACGGTGGAGAACAAGTTTTTTAATAAGTATAATAGTGATATGTTTTTCAGTTACCTCAATAAAAAGTTATTGTTGGTAGCACAACCTGATCCCAACTTCGGGCCAAGTGATCATAGGCAGCCCGCCGTACCTACTACTGGTAGTTTTGCCAAGTACACCGCCAGACACTGCTGGGGATTGGATACTACTGGCAGTTACTGGCAGTTTAAAGTCAATTCTCGCACACCGCCATCCGCTTTTTACTATAATGGTCAGCCAGAGCAAATGTGCGCACCAGTTGCCACCCAATCCACCTATATGACTATGGATGGTATTAACCCTTATGCCGAAGCACAAGGTCGTCAGAATGGTTCTTACTTTAGAACCTATATGGCTGCCGCTACAGCAACGAAACCAAAATTTATCCTCATCCATTCGTGGAACGAATGGACTGCTGCTAACTGGAACACGCAAAGTGTTCCTCATTTTGTTGACCAATGGATCACTGAGTACAGTTCAGATATTGAGCCTATGTACGGTGGTCATCGTGACGGATATTATCGATTAATGAAAACAGAAATAGACAAGTTTAAGCACTAAGGATGGTTGTTACATAAAGTAGTTACTTTTGCTTATTTAAAGTTATATCTTGCTTTTAAATATTTTACCCTTTGTATTCTCGGGCTACAAATACAATAAAATTTATCTTGCTCTTATTCTAGGATTACTACCAATCACTTTTTATGTTCAAGTTCTAACGCAAGTCTAAGAAATTTATGTATTAGGAAATGAATTAAAACGACACTTAGTCATGTGGTCACGACACATGGTCATCTGGCAGTTTGCCTAACAATTCGTTCGTCGAACAAGAAAAGGAAGAAGAAAAGGAAAACATGCAACAATCAGCAACTGAGGATGAACTTTCCACAGCTAGAAAAGTTGACGTCAAGGACGAAGATTATTCTCCACCACCAGAAGATGGCACAAACGAATTTTCCAACAAAGAGATACTATCTGTAATTGGGGATTTGTTCACATTGTGTTCACAACAATGCAGCCGACAATATTTGAGTACATTATTGTACATGTTACTCCGTTATGTGAACATGCCTTGGAGAGAATGCGACAAAATTTTTCGTGTTAGTGGATCCATGCGGTGTCAGTCGGCCAGTGAATGGGCACAATTATATTTGAACGATTTTGAAGAGTTCACAGCTGAACACAGAGGAGGCAAACCGACAGACAGTTTCTGGGACGTTTTTCAAAGTTTAGAGGTTGAAAGCCGAGCATTTGTTGTCGAGGAATATTCAAAGAAAAGTAGTGCATTCAAGACAGCCGATTTAGCGGCGTTCATTGACCAGCGGTACTACGAAATTAATAGTTTGAAGAAGACAACTGATGAATTGATTCGATCCGTCGAAATGTGTCGTTTAGACAAGGGGGAAAAAGCATACTTCTGTACTTCTGGTACTTCTCCGTACTTCTTGATACTTCTTCGTACTTTTTTGTACTTCTCCGTACTTCTGAAGTACGAAGTACGAAATACGAAATCCCGTATTTCGTACTTCGTACTTCAGAAGTACGGAGAAGTACCAGAAGTACAGAAGTATGCTTTTTTCCCCTTGCGTTTAGATATGAAAAGATGGGGTGCTCGAAATGAAGAAAACAAAAACAGGTCATATTTCGAAGGTCACGAGAGGCCCGACGTAGTCAAGCATCGAAATGAATTTGTGCAATATTTTTTAATGAGAAAAAATAATTATTACACACTGAGTGACGATGAAGACCCGCAATGGGTCAAACCGACCACATCAGATCCTATTTCACACGATGAAAGTACCTTTCGCAGTGGCGAAATTAGTCCCCGCCGATGGATCATTGATGATTGTGCCCGTTTGTTTAACAAGGGACATGACCGTAGTCAAATGCATGGTCCAGCACCTTTCGTCGCCATATTTTGAACTGAGTCAACAGGAATGGGACGCAGCCGTCAAAATCTATCCTGAACTCATGAACGACTCCGATCTGAATTTTCTAGAGCGTTCGGCGTGTGTCTCGCTTAACATAGGCGGAGATCTTTATATGGACAACACGCTAATTCTGAAACAATTCGAACGTCTTTTTAAACTCACACAGTTCAAAACGGAATACAAAAATCATTCGCTTGAGGTATTGGTCGACAATGCGAGAACCCATACTTGTAAAGAGTATAGTGTCACAGATTTTGAAATGAAACCCGGTACTCGCTGTCCGGTTAGAACGATTGAATATTTGGATGATAAACACCGTAAAAAAGTTGTAAACTGTTATTTTACGAGCGGGCCGAACAAAGGCATGTCACGGGGACTATTGAATATCGCACTAGACTTATGTTACCGTATCCCAGTTGGCTGTAAACTTATCGAATTACAAGCAATCGTCAACAAACATATAGCATTCAAGAATATTACCAAATTGGAAAAGTTAGGAATGAAATATAGCATTAAAATCATTTATGAGCACGTACCATTGTGAGTGCAACGCGATTGAGGGCATGTGGTGTCACATGAAAGACTATGTAAGGAAAAATACTGATCAAACATTCAACAAGCTCATTCTGCTGGTGCAAGAATCAAGAATGAATTTTGAGCACAAGCAAATCTATAAAAAGCTCTACAGACGATTTTGGAAAACGCTGGCCGCCTATCATCAGGGTCAAGATTATAAACAGGTGTTACAACTCTTTTTTTCAGGATTATGTAAAGACAAAATTATCTCACACAGAAAAATCAGTAACACAAACTTGAAATAGTGGCAATATAAGGGGTAGTTTAAATTTTTTGGTGAGTGCAAAATTGTAAAAGGCACTTCTGCAGATATAGTTTTTTACGGCAAGTAAGAATAATTGACTTTGAAGGTTCTGTAGTGCGACCAGGCTAGGCTATAAAGCGGTTTTCCAAAACAACGTTTTTTGCCTAAAAATCGCGGTTTTTTCGAATTTTATGTTTTCTCAGGGAAAACGCAAAGTAACCAAATTTTAAAGGTGATATTCGTGATCAGCGCAAAATTCTGCGTCGAGTGATGTATCTTACAAATAAATTCAAAAATGGTGCTTGATCTTTGAATTTGGAGCGCCTTACCAGTTGTCTATTCATTACTCAGTCGCAAAAATAGTGATACATATCAACGTCTTATAAATGAAATAGTAGAATTTGCTCCATGCTGGTTCGCTGCTTCTATTTTACTTGATTTCGAAAAGGCATGTATTAATGTATGTGACAGTAGTTTCGTTAATATATCATTATCTGGTTGTTATTTCCATTTTCGTCAAAATCTTCATCGAGAACTTCAGGCAACATTGAAGTAATTTAGTATAAAAATACGTTCGAATAGAATATGTTCGCTCTTCAATGTATAACTTTTGTTTTTGTATATTAGACATTAGGTTATCAGAATCGTTTTCAAGATGTTAAATTTGCTCATAATATTAATAAAATAGCTGGGTTAGCTTTTATTCCACCTTGTGATGTATTACATGCATATTCACGTCTTGCATTAGATCTTGATGATGATTATCAAGATATTTTGAATTATTTTGAAGATACATATATAGGACGACTTCGCCCTAACAATACACGACGTCAACCAACATTTAGTATTGAATTTTGGAATATGCATACAAGGACAACACAGTTATCGACGCGTACAAATAATTCTGTGGAAGCATGGCATCGTCGTATAGGATATGTATTTCAATGCGCACATCCTACGCTTTGGTCATTTTTACAAAAATTAATTCATGAAGAACATGCAGCGCATGCTGATGTTGTTCATATAAATAGTGGTGAAGCACCAAAACATAAAAGTAAAACAAATGAACGGTTTGAACGACGTCTTTTAAATCTTTTATTACATCCACATGATGATATTCTTATGCAACTAAATAATATTGCACATAAAATTTGCTTATAAAATAAATATGTCTTTCTTTGTTGATCATCTGATAAAAAATTTAATATTTCATATAATAGTATATTGAATAAATTGATTAAATTAACTTTCTCTTAAATTTTTTCAACTGTTTATGATACAAACTATAAATTTGTGCTCATGTTTCCTAGTGCTCAACTTTCCTCCTGCCCAATTTTTCTAGTGCTCATATTTCCTAGTGCTCAACTTTCCCGTGCTCATCTTCCCGTGTTCTAGTTTCTTCATGCTCATGTTTCCGGTTCCCGTGTATGTATCGGTACTAAAACTAAAACACATATATATGTATCTGTACTGCATGCGGTATGCGTATATATATCTAGCGCTCTATCGATGACAATAGAGAAAAATCTTTTTTTCTACAATAGAGAGAGAATGAGAGAAAAATATACGCATACGCCGCACGTTATATATATCTTCTATACGGCCAGCTTTCAAGCAGTTTGACGACCAACACATAGCGCCCTCACCAGGATGTGAATATGGCTCAATGAATCAGGCGATATAACAACGGTAAGAACCAAAAGTAAAACAGCAATTGATTCCTTGTTTAAGGTGAAAAATTTTAATCTTGATTTTTGCCATAAAACAGCAATATTAACATTAGGAACGAAAACGCCAACCAAAAAAACGGTAGATGATTACAAAGAGAAACAACAACGAAAATTAGAATTAAAAATGATAAAAAATTTAAGTGTATATGTAACATTTGATGTTACTGTGACTGCTGTTCGTTTATCATTGATTGTAATTCTCATAATGTGCGCCTTTTCGCTGTGTAAAGCAAAAGACTTTTCTCTCACCATAGAGTTTTGAATCTCATTTGTACTAGAGCCATCACAAATTCCAGTTAATTTATTTTTATGTAATCTTCGACTTCTCCAAATGAGAATTTAGGTAAGCAACGAAGATTTGTCATAGTATCTATTGAAACACCACTCATTAGAATTTGATATTCTGTTATGAAACGATTGTGTAATCGATGGCGAATAGTACAGTACTGGCAGAGAGAATATGGTGTTGGCAGAGAAAAGAGAAAATGTTTAGACAGACGGAGAAAATGTCTGTACAGACAGACAGCTGTTCTCTTTTGTCTTCTTTTCTCTCTCTGCGAATGCAGATCATCGTTACCTTATAGCATAGGTATACATCAAGTGAAATCGTTACGCTATAGCGGCCAAATCCTCAAAAATAGGTTCATTGACTTCAAGTGTCCTCATTGTATTCAACAGAATAACTAGAAAGTTAGTTATAAAGATATACACTGAAAAAATTAAAGTGAAATTCCATACAGGTTTCCTGGAAAACCCCTGAAAAACTAGACTCACGTCATACTGGAATATCTGCAAATATCTACGTTTGTGCACTTTGGTTCTCTCTATCGAATGACGTTTACCCGAAAGTTTCACCTTTTACCTAGACTGAGATTTTGAAATTTAAAAGATGTTGAAAATTTAAAATTTAAAAATTAATTTGAAGATTCAAATTTTCAGTTGGAGACTAAATTTTTTTTTCAAACTGTTCGTCTTTCAATGGTGAATACGAATATCACATTCAAAATTTGGTTTTGAAGCTCAGTTTTGTTTTAAAGTCATTTCACACAGCACCTGAATGTCAAAAACCATGGTTTTCTAGAAACCCTACTACCGAGCATTTTGAAAAGAACTTTCTGCTAGACAAAAGAAAGAGCACGTCAAGAAACCCTTACGGGCCAAAAATGGGAAAAAGCGGATTGATAGTAGTGGAGTTAGGATATTTTAACTTAACTTTTGCATATTTTTATTCGTATTTTTAGAGAGATATCTGCTTACTTGGCATTTCACAAAAAACAAACACTATTTCTCTCTGAATAACTTTCTACCACACAGAGTAGAAAGTGCCTCATCAATCATGGCCATGAAAAATTTTGTCTTAATTAAAAAAGCCACACAGTTGTATTTATTTAGTAATGTAGCTGCTCAGAAAAACAAATTTTAAAAGTTCTGTAACAGTCCGCAGCGATGTGTGTGTGTCTCTAACATTGTTTACCGTCTTTGAAACATATGCATCCAAAATTTGGAACACATTTATAACCAAACACACAGCATTCGCTTTTATTTGGAGCATAATTACAGCGTACTAGACCAGGAGGGCAGTCCAACATTGGATCGATAACCGATTTCCAATCATCTAATGACCATGATGCATCGGCACTAACAAAAACTCCGTTTATCATAAATGTAGGTGTACTGGCAACATCTAAAATAAGAGCGTCATTTCACTTTACTTTCTACAAATGTGTCTCCCGTCCTTACTTCTGCTGCAAGCATATTTCCATGATATTCTTGTTTGATCATTGATATCATCATCTTGCAAACCAGCCAGAAATTTAGCGGCTGTAGTTATTTGGGTTTTATCAACGAAAGTAGCTAAACTCTGCACTACTTCATTCGTTGACATATCGATTGTTGCTCGATTATACCAAGTTGATTGATTTTGAAAGATGAGTGTGGCGTACAAGTAGATAGCGTTCAAGTCTCGATTTGTAACATTTGACACAACATGTAATCCCTGTGCAGCTATAAATGCATTTGTATGATACGGCAATGGAAATGGATGGAGAAGGACTTGAATGTTTGGTCCATAATAGTCAATTACTTTCAATATAGTCGGCCACGCTGCTTGACAATCAGGACATAGCAAATCAGCATACATGTCCACAATCACTTCTGCATCATATGGGCCCATACCGTAGCCTTCGGGGCGAGTTGGAATTGGAATTTGGCCGTAGACATGGTTGACAACGAACACAAATAAAATCAATTTAATTAGCATGTTGATGGTATTTGACTACGATAATTTGCGTTACTGTTACGGGAATTCTTTTCTTATGTTTGAAAAACAATGAAGAGATAAGAGGATAGAAGTTGCAACGATGAAAAATGCGTAAAGAAATAAAACGCTTCGTGATTGTGACATACACACTAAGAAACACATGTGATGATGAGATAGCAAATTGTGCGGTATTTGTTTAGGACAGAAGAAATACATGTAAAATGCATTCCTCTGAGAAAATAAGTTAAATAGAGCACCTAAATGGGCTATACTAAACGAGAAAAACTAGAAATAATATCTTCGGCAGCTTTTGAATACTCGTCATTATAATTTATATAATTCCATTGCCTTCGAAATCACAGACAGCGGTTTGTATAGAACATAGTCCATAAAATCGAGAAAGATCGTTTATTTCTTTGATAACGCTTAGATCGCAACGGGATTTCGTCACCGACTGTTTTGAAGATTTCTCTACGCAAGATGCAGAATAAACATAATAAAAAAACTAATGCATTCATTAGTTTTTGACGAGATTTATCAAAAATTGTAGTTCAACTTGTACAAGAAACGTGTGTAAGACATTGAAATACGCTACTCACAATTTTGGTAACGGAATTTCAACGAAAGCAAGATGACCTGTGGCTCTAATTTCTCTGTTCAGAGACCCTTAGAGACATCGAAAAAGTAAAATGAGACACATTTCTCCATCTATCTATAAAAAAATTTGACTTGCACGACATGCAACACAAGCGTTCGAGTGCCGGTAGAACACTCCTTTAGTGATTTTTAAAGTCATTTTTCTTCGTTTGCATGTCTTTGGTGACAGGCACTACCAATCAAGATATTCTAGCTAGTTCAGTTTGTAGACAATTTCAAGGGCTATCTAATCGTGTATTTGGTTAGCCGCATGAGCGTAAGAAAGTTGAGAAAAACACGTTTTATTTATCATGTGGGTGTTGTTTTGAGGATGCAGATTGGGATGCTATTGTCGAGGAATTAAAGGGATTTTAGTAAAAAAAGTATCTGTTTATATCCAGAATCAAATTCCAAATACGTTTTTACTACATACGAACTATTACTCGAAAAAGAGAGTGGGATTGTTAACCTTATGAGTTCATCAAAGTCTCTGATAGCTACAATCAAGCATTTTTGAGGAGCATTGTAACGCAAAAACTTTATCCTCTCGATGTTTTTTTCGTTTTGTTGGATATCGGAAATATATGTAGAATAAACGGAGCAGAACTTTTTCTTACGTTCAGCGAATTTGACACAAAGGTTTCATGCTTTCACGAACAAAAGAAGAAAAAGATAAAGAAAAGCCGTTGGCAAGAATATGCTTTTTTTTCGAAACGAAAAATTATTATTCGCGTTTTTATTATAATTCTTATGACAATTACGGCAATACTCTCGATGGCAGCATTTCACGTATGTGCTCCAGACTTAATTAAAGCATTAGTTTATTAGAATATCTGTTTTAGGTACAAAACGGTCAAAAAGTTATCTAATAATCCGTTAGAGTAGTCCAAGATTTTGAGCTGAATTGACGTTAATGTTTTTTGACAAAAATGTTATATTGTGAGGGATATAGTAAACAATCAAAAAGAAAAATTTTACTTACATTAGAGACACCGTTACCTATGCAAATAGAGAAAAAGAAAAGATCAGATCACGATAAAGATGAAAACGTGGTGATAGTAACTTGACAACTGGCACAGTTTCTAGGATATTTTCTCTCCATAGAGTAACTGTCTTATTCGTTTTAATAGAAGCTTTAGACACAAAGAAAACTCGTTCAAATGCAAAATCAGACTGTTTGTTACTATGTCCAAAAGAAAAAGAGCGGATAATCTGGTGGTTTGTTCGATTTAGTACAATGCACCATTTCATACATTAGTCTTATCTCCAAGAAATAGTCGCGTTGTCTTGTAATAAGAATTTCACATAAGTTCGGGTGTCATACCGTCTGTCGAACGAGTTGTATGAGCATCTGCATCGCTCGACATAGTGAACGCTCGTGTTGGATCATTTGCATCGACCAAAACTGTAACTGTATCATCGGGTACATGAGAGTACAACAGAGCTTATAAATTATCGTAATGGGCGAGTTTGATATCTGACTGATCCCATAATAACTGTGTCTTACTCGCGTCACACCAAAAACAAGCGATAACTTGTTGCTCATGCCGAGGATTCATGCCAGTCCTGATTCAGAGATGGGGAAAGAAAGAACCCAATAGACAAAAAATAAACAAATAAAGCCAGCAGTAAATAAACAGATGATCTAATATCCCAATGGCCTAGTATAAAGGAAAACCGAGGCTATGAAATGCGACCACTCGCAGCGTTTCACGATCTTTTCTATAACCTGAGTTAGGTTTCGACTTTTAAACTTTTTAGAGACTTTTACAATTCATAGAATCTAAATTAAAAATTTCCGAACTCCGTCGGAATTTTTTCTGAAAACTTCAGAACATATGTAACTTCGTGTGCTCCACAAAGTAGCAAGGCTTTTCAGAGGAGAAGCCCCTCCATGAAACTACGACGTTGTACTGTGTTAAGGTAGCATCACTAAATATCTTTACCTTCCTCCTGTTGTCGCTGATCACCAGTATACATTATACCGCTCTTAAGGGAAGAATATGTTTCCTTCTCAAGATGGTCGAAAATGCTGAAATTCGTATGATAAAAAGCAGTTTTTCACTTTAAAACCTCAGGTCGAGAACTGAAATCAAAAACTTTCTAATTAAAAAATATTCTTTTTTTGAGTACAACAATTTATGAGTAAACTATTTTTTTCAGCACGCCGAACAACCGGTAAAACAATATTTGAAAGTGCTTCCTTCGTGAGTTTTGGTGTTCAAGGAGACCTTCTGATCAACATAAGTTTGAAAATTTATAATTCCAGAAGGAACGATTTCGAAAAGAAAGAAATCCTAGAATAAATGTGACTAAAATTTCTAAAAAATTTAAAAGTCAAAAGTAAACTCAGATCGTCAAATGGTTATAAGAACGTACTGGCTCTATGAGGATCATAAACGTTTTAACTGGCATTATCGTTTACATACATGTAAAATATTTTAGAAATTTTAGTTACATAGAATTTAAAAGTTACATATATTCTGCGGTTTCTTCCTTTTCGAAATCTTTCCTTCTGGGATTATAAATTTTTAAACTTAAGTTGATCAAAAAAGTAATTCTTCTACAGAATATATAGATGCTTTGAACGGAATTTCACGTTGT